TTTACAATACTCGTCCTTTATTTAAAGTGAAGTAAACATAGGTTTCAAATTATGCGTAAGATAAAAGTCATGTACCTCCACCAAGCCCAGGCGAGCGGATAAGTTCACAGATTCAGTTGGAACTTAAATATTTTAATAAAATATAAAATACTATAATTTATAATTAAATTTATTGTCCCATTAAGGATTTAGTCAAACTAGCCATTATAAGTTAATGGTTTTACTTAAGGGCACATGATTACATAATAATTACCCAATTTATTCCTATCATTAACCTACAAATGGGAGTTACATGACTATGAGTCCTATAAATAGGACATGTCTTTTTGCTCAACCATTTTTTTGTGTTCCTCCACATTCTTTTATTTTTCTTACCTTACTTTATCTTTTAAATATTCTTGGGTAAAAAAAAGTGTTTTAAGTTAGCTGACTCTATGGGTAGTATAAATTTATAGAGTGTAATTATAAAGTTGTAGCATCTTGAGGGTGACATGCTATGTATATCTTTGCTGCACTGGTCATTCTACACTCCGCAGGCGTGAATTGTCTTAAAGTAAATAAGCTATTCACGCCTATTTCAATGGTTTTTTTTATCGACATTTGTTAATAAGTTCACTACTTATTGTTTTATTTGATCTTGTGACCGAGGCACAACAATGAGATGATGTGGAGATGGAGGAGAGTGTTTGAGGAACAACAATTTCAAGACAATTCAACATGCAAAGCACAAAATAAAATATATGAGGCCTTGTGCATAATAGAAAACTTTGATTTTCTTGAATATATATATATATGCACCAAATAGGTATGAGTTCTTGTTACAAATCTAGTTTTAAAAAAAAATTGAGGATACCGTGCAATAGTTTCTTTACTTTTGCTGTTGAATAATGCACGCAAATATGTGCTCTTTTTGTTGTTGCCGTACTCCTTAATTTATGAGAAATTCTCGACAACTAGGAGAAAGAAAAGAAACCGTTAAGACATTCTACCTGCAATTTAATGTCTCCCAGTACACATGCATTCATAGATATATGAATATGTGATTAATTTGGCAAAAAGACATAGATGACTGTTCATAGGCAATTTATTTGTCATGATGGTTATTGATTTATATGCAATGGTGATTTATAACTTCATCATATTTATATGATTGGTTATGGACCTTATGGTTAGTCTTAATGTTATATTAATTGATAAATGCATGCATATTAATGTGGGAGTTTTCCCATAGTATTGAGTATTATGATATTAGCTGTTTGAATTAAATGTGATCATGGGTAGAGCATATATTTTAATATGAAATTTGGGATATAAAAGCTCTATAAATGAGAAGTGCTTTCTTATTGTGTAATTTATGAGCATTAATATGCATCATAGATATATAATTAATTGATTATTATTATTTTTTAATGGTTTAAAAAAATGGTGAATAAATTTGTGCATTTAATTGATCATATTATTGAGTTTTTTGATGAAACAAGTGAAAACTTTGAGAACCCAAGTGAAAAACTATTTGATTTGGTCCATCCAACTATTTTGGTAAAAAAAGGACATGAAATTTGGATCAGTTTATTCTGGAAATGTAAGTTAAATATTTTAAAACTTGCATGACCGATGAGCAATTTTTGGTGATAAATAAGAGATGAGCTAATATGCTCTTATCAAATTTTGTGAGAAAATAAGTTTCTTCATGAACTCAATTATTTGAGAAATGTGATATTTACAAACTTGAATTACTTTCAATGTGAGGGATTGTGATGTCCCTATGTATTATTATTGGTGACAAGACCAATCGTGCCTAATTGAAATTTTGCATAGCATTCATATTATACAATAAGGTATAATGATGCTTAAGTGAGCAAATGTGATAGGCACTCCTATTATACAATTATAGTATAATGGTGTATGATGGAAAAGAATACGGCATTTTACTTGAAGGGATGTGCTATCGAAGACATTCCTATTGTACAACAAGGTACAACGGTGTTTGAGTTAAAAATTTTTAAATACATGTCTCTACATGTATAGAACGAAAATGGTGGTTCACTAGCTTGATTTGATATCAAAATTGTGGTACCATGAATTGAGAATTTAAGAAATATGAATGTGAATTTTATGAGCTAGTAGAATGTGGGTTGATGTGAAAAAGTGAGAAAAAGAATGAGGTAAATCTCTTTGTTACCCACTATACCACCAACTAGGCCTTTGGTAAAAACAAAAAGTTGGAGAAAAAACTATGATCATAGTCCAAGGTCTAGTGCTCATTGAGGGGAATGGGATTCAAGCCCAATAATGTAGAACTTCCTATGAGGATACCCAACCCGAATTTTGAGAATTGGGTTTTGAATGAGAAAAATGAATCACAGAGAAGTCGTTGTTGAAAGATGCATCAATATTTAATGGAAAAATTTCCAGTCCCATTCCTAAGGTGAGAATGCATCTATTCCATAATGAATTGAGGATTGAGTTATATACTCTTAATGAAGTTTATAGCTCATAGAGTGGGGTGTCTTAGTTATGGGAGCACCCTTGACAAGTTTCACCTATGTGGGTGTCGAAATGAGGCCGCTTCTATGAAAATTGAATGGGCAATTTTCTAGATCACCCATGAAAACTAGGGTCATACGCAAGGTCATAATGCGACAGCTATGTGAAAAACTCAACATTTGGATCATATGTGTGTGATACAATTCTTGTATCTTCCAATGGGATCATAGTTCAAGACTTAGTCCACTATTGACTTTGGATTAAGAATTGTTGACTCACTAAATAAAGGCTCAAGACTTAGTTACCTTTATTATGCATAATAATCCATCTTTGCCCAAAAAGAAAGGTTTATTTTTTATTAAAATAGTGAGGGAATTGTTGGAACTTAAATATTTTAATAAAAAAATAAAATAATATATTTTATAAATTAAATTTATTGTCTCATTAAGAATTTGGTCAAACTAGCCATTGTAGGTTAATTGTTCTACTTAAAGACACATTATTACATAATAATTGCCCAATTTATTCCTATCATTAACCTACAAATGGGAGTTACATGACTATGAGTCCTATAAATAAGATATGTCTTTTTGCTCAACTATTTTTTTGTGTTCCTCCACATTCTTCTATTTTTCTTACCTAACTTTATCTTCTAAATATTCTTGGGTAAAGAAGGGTGTTTTCAGTTAGGTGACTCTATGGGTAGTGCAAATTCATAGTGTAATTATAAAACCGTAGCATCTTCGAGGCGACATGCTATGTATATCTCTGTTGCACCGATCATTGTACACTCTGCAAAGGCGTGAATCACCTTAAAGTAAGCTTTTCAAGCCTATTTCGATGATATGTTTTTATCAATATTTCTTGATAAGTTTACTAATTACTGTTTTATTAATTACTGTTTTATTCGCTTTTGTGATCGACGCACAACAATGACTTGATGTGGAAATAGAAAAGAGTGTTTGAGGAACAACAGATTTAGATCACAACTTTTGTAACTCCTTTTCAAGCATTTGCATAGGCATCTTCCTCTTCTCCTTGGTTGTCATTGCTAACATTCAATTTTTTTATAATTCTATTAAAGGGACAAATCAACAAGATATGAGAGGTTCTGTCCCATATTTGAATTGAAATAAATATGATTATGTTGTATAGTCTAATGCAATGCCTTCTGTGAAATCACAGTTACTTAACAATTGTATAAGAATAGCAATCATATAAAATGCTTTTAAGAGTATAAATATGAGCTCAATCAAAAGGAAAATCCTTATATATAAACTAAATAAATTAAGTAATGGTTACCTAACAAAATTTATAAGAATCTAAAGCATATACGTAGATGATGCACAAACTTGTTGGTTTATACTAGTGACAACCACAAAACAAACCAAACAAGTGTAAGTTTGAAAATTTTACCTTTTTGCCTTCTTTGGATCATTGATCATTAGTTCAACAAGCATATCAAGAGAAAAGACTATTTGCATTTTGGATGATTGGCCATCGGCAATTAAGGCTAAGGTTGAGACTGTGGCTTGGGTTGCAAAGACACATGTTTCAAGTATTGGAACTTGATCTGTATTTGTAGCACTCCTCCTTTAGGTACTCTTAGGCCTTTGGGAATCCTGAAAAAAAACTTAGAAAAAGATGGCAACAAAAATAAAAATACTTCAAATGGAAATATGCTTCCCAAAAAAAGAAATATGCTTTCAGGAACACACTTGAACCATATAAAAGTAGAGTCAATTACCTATAAATGAAGACCAATTTAATAAACAAATATCTTAAGAAAGACACTAGAATACTTGAAACTATAAACTAAGCTTAATAAGTCTGTTTTACTTAAATTAAACATTTTGTACAAAAAGTAATTTACACAAAAATGCATGAGCACATGCTCTTCAAAATCTTTTCAAAATAACAAAAGCAAAGTCATTATTTTGGTAATACATAACTGCCTTTAGGTTAAAAGCACTGAGGTCCTAGCATGTACATACAACAAGCATACGAGACTTGTGCCAAAAGCTTTGAAATTGGGAGGCTGCTACCTTAATCTACTGATCTAAAATGGGGAAAGGGGGGGATATCATGAGCTAAAAGTCTAGTAAGTATGAAGTTTAAACCATAAACTTCGGTCCTAGGACCCCTAGACCTATACACACAGAGGACATAATAAACAACTACACCAAATCAAATAATATTTAACTCAAATTCAAGTCACAAGATCATATGCTCACAATGCCATTTCACAACAAAATGCAAAGAAGAAAATCACACAATGCTATGGAGTCCACAGATGTGTGCTAGCAACACTTGTACTTGTGCTAATCACGACACTTATCTTACTACGTAGAGGTCCACTAAATACCCCGGAGGGTCCACTGAATACCTCAAGCTTTAAGCTTAGATCCACTTACTCTATAGCTACACATACACATGTCAAACAAGTTTAGAACATGTCCAAAATAATATTAGAATATTATTCCATTTAATGTTCCCATTAATCAATGGCATGGACAATTCAAGTTCATACTAATATCCACATAGATAGCTCACATATTCCATAGAACTTCCTATTGAAAGAAATTAAAGTATAGTGCGTGAACATTAATCATAGAAGTAGCAATTTACTTCCAGGCTCACACACAGTTCTAGTAAGGTCTAATTAACTAGACAACCCTCATTTTGTCATGCAAAGGACACCAAGGAGCACCAACATATTATTTGACCATCAAATCCACACTAAATTTAGACATGAGAAATAAATCCTTCAACCCCATACAAGCCCCCATATTATCCTATATTAACAAAGTTTTCACTGCTCAAAAGTCTCTTAAACTAAGGCTTAAGATCAAATCTCACTAATTTAAGCTAGTTTCCATCATGTTATAGGAAATCTTTAATGTAATATCCCAAAATTTTGGGGTATTTTAGCATTAAAGTGGGGACTTATTTGAGGAAAAATATTGTTTTGGGGTTTAATTGCAAAATTTTTAAAAGTCGAGGGACTAAAAAGAAAGGAAATTAGGATAAGGATGAATTGCTTTTTCTTTTCCTTTTTTCTTTCTTTTTCTTCTTTCTTTCTTTCCTCATCAGATCCGCGTGCCCTGCTCTTCTTCTCCCCCGACCCTCTGCACTCGACGAGCCCACCCCGTCACCGCCACCCATTTCCGGCCGGAAATCCGGCAAAGCTTGGGGATTTCTCCCTATTTTCTTGTCTTAGAACACCTAGTAAACCCAGAAATTTCCCCCTCTTTGCTGGAAATTCCGGATCTGCGCTGTCTTCTTCCCTTTGTCCGTCGGCCTCTGCTTGTGTGGGTGTGAATTCTCGGCTTTTCTGGTAAGAAACAGCCATGATTTCATCCTTTTAGCTTTGATTAAGTTGGGTTCCTTTAATTTTGGGTAAATCCCGTGAGTTCCTGCAGAATTTCCCCCAAATTGCCGCCAGCCTCTTCCCCCTGCCATGTCCGTTTCTGCAGCTGGAAAATTTCTGGTAGGTTGGCTTCTTTAATTCTTGAAAACTAGTTGATTGATGGTTGCCTAGGTTGTCCAAATTTTTGCTAGAAAATGGGAGGAATTCCGGTAGCTTTAGGACCATGATTTAGCTTAATTCAAGTGGGATTTATGTGATTGAGTGTTAATTGATTGCTGTGTTGTTTATAGGGAGAAAATCCCGTGAATTAGCTAGTGTTTGGCCAATTTTGGAAGTGCAGTCACTGTTCACGCACTGTTCATGGGTACCGTTCACGAGGTACTGTTCACACACGAGGGTTAATGATTAACGAGGATTTAAAGGTTTAGTTTGTGATATAAGGATAAATTTGGAGATGTCCGGTTATGCGGAGATTGATAGAAATAGCACCGTGATTAGGGATAGTGTTAAAGATGATTTTACTTTGGATTTTGTAGTAGTGCGGTATTAACTTCGGAATATTGTGATTAGGTTTTGATCGTTCTGTCACCATAGCACTTGGGAATTGTAAACACTGGTACCCTTATTGACGCCTGCCAGTGGAAGTTTGTAAACACTGGTACTTCTAAAACCCTACCAATGGGGTTAAACATTTGGTACTATTATTGACGCCTGCCAGTGGGAGTTTGTAAACACTGGTACTATTACTGATGCCTGCCAGTGGGAGTTTGTAAACACTGATACTATTACTGATGCCTGTCAGTGGGAGTTTGTAAACACTGGTACCATTACTGACGCCTGCCAGTAGGAGTTGTTAAACACTGGCCATGACTTATAGATGAGACTACTGAACTGAATCTGATTTTGTCACTGAGCGTTTTGGTTATATTAAATTGTTTATCTGGCATGCTAAAGTTTTACCAAGGGCTATCCATAATTACTTACTGAGTTATCTCATAGTTTTCCTTGTTCACCATTTCAGGAAGCGATACTGAGGACGGGGGAAACCGAGGGGAGTGACGAGTTAGAAGGCTAGCCATCGTGTAAATTGAATATGGATTTTAGATATAAATGATGATCTTGTAAGCGAGATTTTAATTGGAGATTGTAAATTAATTTAGTGGATAGTTAGTTTATAAGAGATTTGATATGGAGATTTTGAGGTTAAGTCGTGTTTGGACATAGGGAATTAATTTTGAAATATCTGATCTGAGTTTGGATTGTCAGATGTGATTTGGATAAGTTCCGAGCCTTGTGCATTCGTGGGATCCGATCACGAGTGCACGGCGTCTGTCGCGTTTCTGGATTTGGGTTCTGGGGCGTGACATTTAATCTACCCAAATTCTAACCCAAATTTATAACCAAAACTCATACTTACCTATGGGAATCAAGCACCAAATTGAAGAAAATCAACAGAAATTGAAAGGAAATTCAAGGAGAGTATTGCAAGTGAAGATAGCAACTTCTTCTTTAACCCTCACGGCTTAGAAGAGAAAGGGGAAATATGTTCGAGAGGTTAAAAGAAGAAATGAAGATTTGCTTTTCTAAAATCTTCTAGAGCCTCCATGACTTGATTCATAAATTGCCACATGTCTCAAATTTTGGATAATATAGTTAAATAGTCCCTAACTATCTCAAGATTTCACATAAGGTTCACGTACTCTAAATCTAATCAATTTAGTCCCTAAAATTATAAAATAAAGGATTTTAATTTCCAAATCTATTCACCAAGGTACATGGGGTGTTACATCTTCCCCACCTTAAAAGGATTTGGTCCACCAAATCATTAAGCTTACCAGAATAGATGTGGATATTGCTTTCTCATTTGAGTTTCAAGCTCCCAACCATCCTCATTTTCGTTATGATGCCGCCACAACACTTTCACCGAAAGCACAATCTTGTTTCTCAAAACTTTTTCTTTCCTATCCAAAATTTGCACTAGTTGTTTGAGGTAAGTTAAATCCTTCTTCAACTCCAATGGCTCATAATTAATAGCATGTGAAGGATTTGGCTCATACTTCCTCCAAATTGAAACATGAAATACATTGTGTACATTTGACAACTCTAGAGGCAACGCTATTTTATAAGTCATTTCACCTACCCTTTCAAGAATCTCAAATGGGCCGATATACTTCGGACTGAGTTTTCCTTTCAACCCAAATTTGTATACTCCCTTAGTTGGTGACACCTTCAAAAATAGATGATCCTCAACTTCAAATTCCAAATGTCTCCTTTTATTATTTGCATAACTTTTTTGTCTATCTTAAGCCACTTTAAGCCTCTGCTGAATCAATTTCACTTTTTCCATTGTTTGTTGCACAAAATTAGGCCCCATTAATTGTCCATAACTTCTACCAACAAATTGGAGTTCTACATCTCTTGCCATGAAGAGCTTTATAAGGTGCCATTTTAATGCTGAACTGATAATTATTATTGTAAGCAAACTCTGCCAATGGAAGATGATCATCCAAACTCTCAAGCAAATCTAATGCACAAGCTCTCAACATGTCTTTAAATACTTGAATAGTCCTTTCAGACTGCCCATCAGTTTGTGGGTGGTATGTTGTGCTTAATTTTAATTGAGTTCTCATAGCTTTTTGAAAAGATCTCCAAAATCCTGCAATAAATCTTGAATCTCTATCTGATACAATGCTCACTGGAACTCCATGGAGTCTAACAATCTCTTGAACATAAAGCTTGGTCAACTTGTCTAATGGGTCTTTTTGTTTAATAGCCAAAAAAGTGAGCTGATTTTGTCAATCTATCCACAATCACCCAAATTGCATCAAATTGTCTCCTTGTCCTTGGCAATCCCACAATGAAGTCCATTGAAATGGCTTCCCACTTCCACTTTGGTATAGGCAAAGGTTGAAGTTGTCCTTTTGGCTTCTGCTGCTTTGCTTTTACTACTTGACAAGTCAAGCACTTGGACACATATTTTGCCACATCCTTCTTCATACTTTTCCACTAGATTCTTTCTTTCAAGTCATGATGCATCTTGGTACTCCCAGGGTGAATGGTATAATTGGACTTGTGTGCCTCTTTGAGCGATTCTGTCCTCAACCCTTCACCATATGGAACACAAATTCTATCTCCAAGTCTTATGGTTCCATTGTCCAAAATATGAAGACCAATTTTTGAGCTCTTCCCACTGTCCCTCATCCACTCCATCAATCTTGAATCTTTTTACTGTGCTTCCTTGATCTTTGACAACAATGTAGGTTGAACCATCAAACTAGACACTAGTATATTAGACTTTGACAACAAAAATCTAACATTCAGATCTTTGAATTCTTCTAGAAGTTTCCACTTTATCACCATTAAGCTTGCTAAGGTGCCAGTTGATTTTCTACTAAGCGCATTCGCAACCACATTTCCCTTTCCAAGCTGATAAACAATTTGCATCTATAGTCATTCAAATACTCCACCCATCTTCTTTGTCTCAAGTTAAGCTCTTTTTGTGAAAATAAATATTTCAAGCTTTCGTGATCAATGCACACCTTAAACTCTTCTCCATATAAATAGTGCCTCCATAACTTAAGTGCAAATATTATAGCAGCAAGTTCTAGGTCATGTGTAGGGTAATTCCTCTCATGTGTCTTGAGTTGTCAAGACCTATAAGTTATCACCCGTCCATGTTGCGTAAGAATGCAACCCAAGCCTTTGTGAGAAGCATCGGTATAAACCACAAAGTTTCCTCTATTGTCAGGAATAGCAAGAACTAGCGCCGTGACAAGTCTACTCTTCAACTCTTGAAAGCTTTGCTCACACTTATCTGTCTATTCAAACTTTTGATTCTTATGGGTAAGTTGAGTTAACGGACTAGAAATCTTGGAATATCACTCCACAAATCTTCTACAAAACCCTGTTAGCCCAAGGAAGCTCCGCACTTCTGTGACGCTAGTCAACCTTTCCCACTTCACAACCACCCCCACTTTACTAGGATCAACCGATATGCCATCCTTAGAAATGATATGGCCTAAAAAACTAATCTGATTCAGCCAAAACTCACACTTCTCAAACTTGGCATACAACTTCTTTTCTCTCAAAATTTGCAATATAATGGCAAAATGCTCCTTATGGCTCTCTTCATCGAGAGAGAAAATAAGAATCTCATCAATAAAGACAATGACAAACTTATCTAGGTATAATTGAAAGACCCTATTCATAAAGTCTATAAAAGCTGCAAAGGCATTTGTTAAACCAAATAGCATCACTAGGAACTCATAATGTCCATATCTACTTTTAAAAGCAGTCTTTATCATATCCTCGAGTTTAATCTTTAGCTGATAATAACCTAATCTTAGAACAATTTTGGAAAAGACGTGAGCCTCTTTTAACTGATCTAATAGATCATCAATTCTTGACAGAGGATATTTGTTTTTGATAGTGACTTGGTTCAACCGTTCGATGCATAATCTAAGAGAGCCATCTTTCTTCTTTATAAAAAGAACCGGACCACCTTAGGGAAAAGTACTGAGTCTAATAAACCCCTTATCAAGAAGCTCTTGCAACTGCTTCTTCAATTCAATTAATTCTGCTAGGGCCATTTTATAAGGTTGTTGGGATATTGGTGAAATACCAAGCACAAGGTCTATAGTAAATTCAATCTCTCTATTTGGAGATAACCTAAGCAATTCTTTAGGAAAAACATCAGGGAAGTCTTCCATTACTTGAATTCCTTTTACAGACATTGGCTTATCTTTAGACTCAAAAACATACACCAGATATCCATAACATTCATGCTGCAGCATTTTATTAGCTTGTATGGAGGAAACAATTAATGGGCACGATCCTACTTTTTCTCCCTCAAATCGAATCACTGATTGGTTAGGAGTGGAAAAAGTAACTACCTTCTCATAACAATCAACCATGGCATGATGGGTTAACAACTAGTCCATACCAATTATGACACTAAATTCCACTATACCTAACAAAATCAGATTGGCAAGCAAAACTCTACCCTCTACCATAACTCTACAAGATCTATAAATGGTTCTTAATATAAAAACTCCTTAGAGGGAGTATTCACCACAAACACACAATTAAGGGTCTCAGGCTCCACATGCAAAAACAGCACATACTTAGGTCACATAAAAGAGTGCATAGATCCAAAGTTGATTAGCACATGAGCATTCCCGAATAAGATAGGTATTTTACCTTTAATAACTGTAGGAGTGTTTTGAGCTTGTTGTTCCATTATAGCAAAAACTCTTCCTTGAACCCTTGGCCTCTTGCTCTCTTGCTCCTTTAACTATTGGTTTACTCCTTTGACAACCAAGCAATCCTTGATCAGGTGACTAGTCTTCCCACACTTGAAACATGCTTCCGTCTGCCAATAACATTCTTTTCCTCCATGGTTCTTACCACACCTCTTGCAAGAATCAAATCCCAGTTTGTTGCTTTCGGGTATGGTTGGGCATTTAGGACCGCAACTACAAAAATGCCCTTGCCCGCCCGCAACTATAACCAATGAGTCGACCTTTTCTTGTGATCGATTGAGGTGGACCTTGATTGCGATTGTAACTGATGGCCCAAGCGGGCGATTGTCGACTCTTGGGCCCAACAACCGACAACTGCAAGAGTAGGCTTGTAATACCCCAAAATTTTGTGATATTTTAGCATTAAGTTAAGGACTAAATTGTGGAAAAATATTGTTTTGGGCTTAATAGCCAAAATGTCCAAACTTGAGGGACTTAAAGAGGGAAAATGATTGGATAAGGACCAGGTATTTTTTCTTCTTTTTTTCTTCAGCCTTGCGCGTTTCTGCTCTTCTTCTTTCTCGTCCCCTGCAACTTCCCGAAAGCCCCTTCAAGCCGCCGGCACCAGCCTTGAGAAACCTGTAGGAAAAGCTTGGTTTTGCCTTCCTTTTCTTGTTCAAAAACCAGATTTGGAGCCTTGAAACTTTCCCCCCTCTCTACAGAAATTCGAATATGCCTTGCTCTACTCCTCACCGTCGGCTGCTCCTGCTTTGTGGGGGCGAATTGCTTTGATTTTCTGGTAAGAAACAGCCATGAATCTCCCTTCTCCAGCTTTAATTGCCTTGGGTTTACCTTAATTGTTCTTGGTTCCTTCAATTTTTGGTAGATTGCGTGAATTGCCCCTACACTTGCCGCCGGCTTCTGCCCCTGCCAAGTCCGGTTCTGCAGCTGGAAATTCTGGTATGTTGACAGCTCCTCCAAGCTTGAAATCTCGTTAATTGGTTGCTAAATTTTGTCCATTTAATTTGCTGCCTTGTGATGTCCGAATTTGGCTGAAAAATGGGGATGAATTTCGGTAACTTAAGTTATGTTTTAAGCTTGGTTTAGGTAGAGAAATTAGCTTGATTATGGGTGCTGTGATTTTTGGAGAAAATCCCGTGAGAATAGGCTATGGTTTTGCCAATTTTGGAAGTTGGAGTACTGTTCATGCGTGATTACTGTTCACCGGCACTGTTTATGGGTACTGTTTACCGGCACTGTTCACGCACTGATGGCCAACAATTAACGGGGATTAAATGCTTAGTTTGTGATATAAGAACAAATGTGGAGATTGATAGAAATAGCATTGTGATTAGGGGTAATCCTAATGATGATTTCAGTTTGAATTTGTGATAGTACAGTATTAATTCTAGGGTATTTTGATTAGGTTCTTGATCATTCTGTCAGTTTAGCACTAAGATCGAGTCTTCGATTTTATGCGAATTGAGGTAAGTAAATTTATGGTAATGCCCGTATAGTTTTTAAAAGCATATTTTGATTTGTTTTTGAAGTGGTGATGGGACTAAACCCGTTTTACATGAGCATGACTGATTTGAAGTGAAATTTTTATGCTTTTCGTTAAATCGAGCATACCTACTTGAAAGTTTAATTGATTGTCCTAATGATTTGAAAGTGATTGGTGAATTATGATTTTTCTGTTAACTTCAGCCTGTTTTGTCTCCGATGTGGTCATGTTATTAATGACCCTGCTAGTGGGGGTTAAACGCTAGCACATGTCGACATGTTAGTGATAAAGCCGGTTCGTACGAGTGACCTTGCTAGTGGGGATTATACACCAGCAAATAGTATGCCTGCCAGTGGGAGGTTTATAACACTGGCCATGACCTATAGAGGAGACGTCTATTTCATTCTCGTACTGTATCCGTTTTTCGTGATTACACTTGTTGGCATGCTATAAATTTAATTAAGGGCTATCCATATTTTACTTACTGAGTTTATCTCATAGTTTTTTCTTGTCCACCATTTCAGGAAGTGAAACCGAGGATGGGGAAATCACGGGAAGTGACAAGTTAGAAGGCTAGCCATATTGTAATTGGATATGAAATTTTAGATATAACTCATGATTTTGTAAGTTAGAGTGTATTTGGAGATTTTATGATATGAGAGCCAATTTTATAATTTTATCTTCAGATTTTGTGGTATCAGATGTGAATTGGACAAGTTCCGAGTCTTGTGCATTTGTGGGACCCACTCACGAGTGCACAGCGTCTATCGCGCCTCAAATTCGGGTTTTGGGGCGTAACAGATTTAGTGGTATCAAAGCTTGGTTTAAATTAAGAGCTTAGGATTAAATTAAGCACCTCCCGATTGAGTGGTATTAGAGTTTAGATTTAATTAAATACCTAGGTTTAATTGAATACCTAGGATTTGTTTAAAACTTGGCTGGCCAATGGATTTTAGAACCGTGGTGAGATGAGTGATGGGGTTATATAAGGGACAATTATGATTCATGTTGCTTGAATTTTCTGATCCATTTGATGAGATGGTAATCTGATTGTTCTTGTTCCTGCCTTCCTACCCTGTGTAGATTCATGAAATTAATCTTGTCCGCCATGTTCTTAAGACCTTGTTTTGAAACTTGGTCATTTTTTTATAGTCTGCAATTGTTTAGACTTGTTACTTGAATAGAATTTTTGTATGCTCTTTTGCCACAATTGGAAAATCTGGGGAGTTGCAGAGATCTTTATTATTGATCTTGTTGGTCTCTACATTATAGCTAGTTGAGAAATTCGTTTTGTTTGTCACATGACTAGTGGAAGATGGGCAACCCTCTACTTTGTAAGAGATTCAAGGCCATTTTAGCAAGTGTTGTGTGTTTTCTAAATGCGTTTTAGGAGCTAGATATCTTGGTAATTTCGCTGCTCATTATCTTTCTGAAAGTCTTATAGTGAAGTTTCACTTTTTCCATTTGGAGCTTCATGGTCTTTTCATGTGGCTCATTTTTCTATATTGGTTAATCAAAAAACAGTGATCATTCAATTGAAATTGCCGTGTTTTGTGAAGATTGGCAAGTTGTCATAAAGTTAAACTCTCTATTGTTGCTAATCTTTACATTCTTGATGTATGTTGAAATTGCTTGAAACTCCTAAAATCCGTCTTGAATCTTTCTTGACATTGCTTTGTACTTGTTCTCGAAACTAAAATCCAGAAATGGATAATGATTATTGAAATCCTCATTATCTTGATACTTGTCTGAAACTGTTTCTGGCATTGTGCTTGGAATCGGTTCGTAAACCTTGCTTGAAATTAATTCTTGTTGGAATTCTATTCTTGAAAATTGACTGATATTGTTCTTAGAATCTTATCTTGAACCTTGTCTAGAGTAAAGTCATGTTAGCATCCTTTTCTTGAAAATCAATTGATATTTGGTTTTTGGAATCTATTTTGAATTGTCCTTGAAAGCCATTCTTGTCCTGACTCTTGCTCTTGCTCAAATTCTGTATACTGCTCTTGCTCAAATCCTGCATATTTTGCTAGTTCTTGTTTTAGTATACTTGTTGATCTTGTTGATTTTTTATTTTTGTTCATATGGACACCTCTTTAGGAGGGGTGATGATTATTAGAAAATGCCTATATGAGGCATCCTGATTCTTGTCTCTTACAAGTGTTAATCTCTGTGTTCTTGAGGTCTTAGCTTTGACTTGACTCTAAGATGTCTAGGATGACTTGATTGTAACTCTGCTTAGCCTCCATAGGCTACGAGGTGAAGGGGTAGTCTTTGAAGTACCTGATGCCCTAGAGTTTTGTTCCAAGAGAAATGATTCTTTATCTAGCTGCTTTGATTTTTGTTTGCCCTTTTAATTGGAAGACATGAATCTTCTAAGCATCTTGATCCCAACCATTGCTTTGTTCTGTTAATTAATTCTAGTACTTGAGGTGCTAGATCTTGACATCCTGGTTATATCTGCTCTTGAATCCGTGTGCTGGTTGTCATTATTGAAATCTCTTTTGTGGGCCTAATTCTTGAATTCAATTGCTTGTTTCATGGTTAACTCTTGTCTCTCTCGATTTTGACTGCTTGGTTAAATGTGATCTTGATTCTTGGTGAATGCCGCTTGGTTGCTGAATTTTTGAGGCATTCTACCTTGCACTCTTATGTTCTAGTATTCTTCCAAGCATTCATATTTTCCATTGATTTTATTCTGTTGTAATTCTTGAGATTCTTACATGTCATTTGATGGATCTAGCTTTTAACTCTTGTTAATTGCTAAAATCTGTTTCTTGATTCCAGTTATTTTGTTAAACATAATCTTGCTTATTGGTTAACCTTGTTGTGGCAGAATTTGTAAGGTATCCATGCACTCGTTCATTCATTCATGATCAATATATCCATTGGATGCTTATCTGTCTTTAATAAAGCTCAAAGTTTTGTTGTACTCGTCTTTAAATCCATGCCATTCTTTGCCAACTCGTCTTGTGTTGGGTTCAAAGCGTAACCCCACAATTGTTCTTTTGTGGATTTGGCAGGATTTATTTCTACTCCTTGTGCTTCCCATATCACCCCAGCCTCCAATAGTTTGTTTCATGGTAAATCCTGTTAAATAGTTAATGTTCTGCTTTTATAATTAGTTGTAGCTTGATATCAGAGTGATGTAGTGGAAGCGTAGTAGGCCATGTTTTGCTCATAAAGAGTTGGTGGGGCATTTGTTTTGCCTTGACTTGTGTGAAGCCATTCACCAGTCTAGATGATCCTCAATTTGAGTTTTGGGGATAAAATTCCTTTTTAGGAGGGGTGGATGTAATACCCCAAAATTTTGTAATATTTTAGCATTAAGTTAAGGACTAAATTGTGGATAAATATAGTTTTGGGCTTAATAGCCAAAATGTCCAAACTTGAGGGACTTAAAGAGGGAAAATAATTGGATAAGGACTGGGTATTTTTTCTTCTTTCTTTCTTCAGCCTTGCGCGTTTCTGCTCTTCTTCTTTCCCGTCCCCTGCAACTTCCCGAAAGCCCCTCCAAGCCGCCAGCACCAGCCTTGAGAAACCTGTAGGAAAAGCTTGGTTTTGCCTTCCTTTTCTTGTTCAAAAACCAAATTTGGAGCCTTGAAACCTTCCCCCCTCTCTGCAGAAATTCGGATCTGCCTTGCTCTGCTCCTCACCGTCGGCTGCTCCTGCTTTGTGGGGGTGAATTGCTTTGATTTTCTGGTAAGAAACAGCCATGAATCTCCCTTCTCCAGCTTTAATTGCCTTGGGTTTACCTTAATTGTTCTTGGTTCCTTCAATTTTTGGTAGATTGCGTGAATTGCCCCTACACTTGCCGCCGGCTTCTGCCCCTGCCAAGTCCGGTTCTGCAGCTGGAAATTCTGGTATGTTGACAGCTCCTCCAAGCTTGAAATCTCGTTAATTGGTTGCTGAATTTTGTCCATTTAATTTGCTGCCTTGTGATGTCCGAATTTGGCTGAAAAATGGGGATGAATTTCGGTAACTTAAGTTATGTTTTAAGCTTGGTTTAGGTAGAGAAATTAGCTTGATTATGGGTGCTGTGATTTTTGGAGAAAATCCCGTGAGAATAGGCTATGGTTTTGCCAATTTTGGAAGTTGGAGTACTGTTCATGCGTGATTACTGTTCACCGGCACTGTTTATGGGTACTGTTTACCGGCACTGTTCACGCACTGATGGCCAACAATTAACGGGGATTAAATGTTTAGTTTGTGATACAAGAACAAATGTGGAGATTGATAGAAATAGCATTGTGATTAGGGGTAATCCTAATGATGATTTCAGTTTGAATTTGTGATAGTACAGTATTAATTCTGGGGTATTTTGATTAGGTTCTTGATCATTCTGTCAGTTTAGCACTAAGATCGAGTCTTCGATTTTATGCGAATTGAGGTAAGTAAATTTATGGTAATGCCCGTATAGTTTTTAAAAGCATATTTTGATTTGTTTTTGAAGTGGTGATGGGACTAAACCCGTTTTACATGAGCATGACTGATTTGAAGTGAAATTTTTATGCTTTTCGTTAAATCGAGCATACCTACTTGAAAGTTTAATTGATTTTTCTAATGATTTGAAAGTGATTGGTGAATTATGATTTTTTTGTTAACTTCAGCCTGTTTTGTCTCTGATGTGGTCATGTTATTAATGACCCTGCTAGTGGGGGTTAAACGCTAGCACATGTCGACATGTTAGTGATAAAGCCGGTTTGTACGAGTGACCTTGCTAGTGGGGATTATACACCAGCAAATAGTGTGTCTACCAGTGGGAGGTTTATAACACTGGCCATGACCTATAGAGGAGATGTCTATTTCATTCTCATATTGTATCCGTTTTTCATGATTACACTTGTTGGCATGCTATAAATTTAATTAAGAGCTATTCATATTTTACTTACTGAGTTTATCTCATAGTTTTTCCTTGTCCACTATTTCAGGAAGTGAAACCGAGGACGGGGAAATCACGGGCAGTGACGAGTTAGAAGGCTAGCCATATTGTAATTGGATATGAAATTTTAGATATAAATCATGATTTTGTAAGCTAGAGTGTATTTGGAGATTTTATGATATGAGAACCAATTTTATAATTTTTACTTCAGATTTTGTGGTATTAGATGTGAATTAGATAAGTTTTGAACTTTGTGCATTTGCGGGACTCACTCACGAGTGCACAGCGTCTATTGCGCCTCAAATTCGGGTTTTGGGGCGTGACAAGGCCCAAACAACCAAGGCCTTTTTTTTTTTTACTTTTCTATAATTCTTTTCCATTTCCCCACAATCCCACCTTGTTTCTTGCAATCCCACCCAATCTTGCCACCCAAATTGTGCCTAGACTTAGGGCTAGGCGTTTAGGACCACAACCATAAAAAAGCTCGTGCTCGCCCATAACCGTAAAGGGTGAGTCAAGCTTTTCTTGTGATCAGTTGAACTGAGCCTCGGTTGCGGTTGTAACTGAGGGCCCAAGCAAGCAATTGTCGGCTCTTGGGCCCAACAACTAGCTACCTCATGAGTAGACCCAAACAACGAAGGCCTTTTTTTTTTATTTTTTATGTTTCTATAAATTTTTTTTCCATTTCCCCACAATCTCGCCCAATCTTGCCACCCTGTTTCTTGTTATCCCACCCAATCTTACCGCCCAAATTGTGCCCAGATTGCATTAGCTGCCTTTTATTAGATTTTTTTTAGGGTAAGTATAAAAATGAGAGTAAACCACAAAGCAGCCATTTTCATCTTTCCTTTTTCTCTATTCTCTCAACTCCATAACTTCCTACTTTCCCTTTCTCTTGTATCTATCAACAAAGGTGGTGACCGGTGATGAGCTGCTTTGTGGTTGCCACCGAAATAGTCAACTTGATCCTTGTTGTCCCTTTCTCCTCATAAATTATGTCTCCCATTCCTTTCAATTAACAAATTGTCCAAAACCAAAGGTATAAATCCCTTCTCTTTTTAACTAAATTTGAAAAATTTTTAGAAATTTTTTGTTTTAAATTTGAGTCCCTTATTTTTTTAACTAAATTCTCATTATTTGTTAGAAAACCTTAACCCTAAAATGAATCCATTTGTTTTGATAATAATATTTACTTGTGTTAACTTCATTTTTTTATCTCAATTGCAGTGTGATTATCTTATTGTGTTCACATGGAGATTAATAGTGAAGAGCATCGATGAATCAATTCAAGTGTAAACTTTTCGCTTGGATCTGTTTTGACTTAATATTTTTTTAGAGATCATTTTTATTTTTGTGTTACTAGCCGCTTTGTTACTATGAAACCAATTTATTAGAAGTTGTGTTTTCAAATTTAAGTTTGTAACATAAGATTATTATTGAATTCAATAAAAAATTTTACCATTAAAATCTGAAAATAAGGTTAAAAATGCTAAGTATCAAGCCTCAGGTAAAACCGTAACCGACACCGAGAATTATAAAATAAAAATAACCGAATATTTAAAAACCGTAATAATTTAATGCAATTAACGGTTGCTATATTTTAAAAACCAATTATGTGGTTAACCGTTAAATCAATTGCGGTTACAACCAAAACCGCCCGATGCCCAGCCCTACTTTTGGGAATCTTCCTTTTTACCTCTTTGATCAGATTTCCTATTGAAAGACTTGTTGTTGGCCGCCTATCCCTTGCCCTTTTGGTCTTGAGTCTCCATCTTCTGTTCCTCCATATCTTACTCAATTATTTAAGCTATGGCTAAGACTTCATCATAGGTCTTTAGCATTTAAGGAACCACCTTGTTCCCAATGGAAGCTTTCAACCCTTTTTGAAACTTCCTTGCCTTCCTAGCTTCATCATTAACAAAGTAAGGAGCAAACTTCAGAAGAGAATTGAACTTAGCTTGATATTCATCAACAATCATGTCATCTTGCTTCAAGTTCATAAACTCTAGTTCTTTCCTCTCTAAAATAGCTTCAGAAAAATATTTTTGATAAAAGGCCCAAACAAACTTGTCCCATTTGATCTCCTCCCCTGTCTTAGTGAACCCATCTTGAACACCTATCCACCAATCATTAGCTTCACCCTCTAATTAATGTGAATATTGCCAACTCCACTTTTTGCTCATCAGTACACTTCAAGAGCTTGAACATCTTTTCTAGTTTTTTAACCTAAGACTCAGCCACATTGGGATTAGGAACTCCCTTGAAGTTGGGTGGGTTCATGTTCTGAAATTGTTTCACCAATGTCAACTGTTCATTCCCTTCCTTTGAGTCCACTGTCTATTGTGAACTACTGCCAATATTTGGTTGAGCATTATTGTTGTTCTAGTGTAGAAGATAATCCCTAAAGACAGAACTCATGTCTTAATGGCCTTTTGCATTATATCCATTCGGGCATTGGAGGAGTAGAAGTATTGTCTCCTTCACTCATCTTTCTCCTTTGGTACTGATATAAACAAAGAGTGCAAAACTGATAGTTAGGAAAAATCTAATCCTATCACACTAAACTGTAACCCAACTGGCAGATCAATATATTAGCAAAACTCGGCTTTGATACCAAATGTAACGCTCCTTCCTTAAGTACCTTTAGGTCTTTGGGAGTCCTAAAAAAAAAAATTAGAAAAAGATGGCAACGGAAATAAAAATACTTCTAATGGAAATATGCTTCCCAAAAAAAGAAATTTGCTTTCAGGAACATACTTGAACCATATAGAAGGAGAATCAATTACCTATAAATGAAGACCAACTACACCAAGTCAAATAATATTTAATTCAAATTCAAGTCACAAGATCATATGCTCACAATGCCATGTCACAACAAAATGCATAGAACAAAAATCACACGATGTTATGGAGTCCACAGATGTGTGCTAACAACACTTGTACCGAAGCTAATCATGACACTTATCCTACTGTGCAGAGGTCCACTAAATACCTTGAAGGGTCCATTAAATAGCCCAAGCTTTAGGCTTAGGTCCACTTACTTCGTAGCCACAAGCACATACACATGTCCAACAAGTTTAGAACATGTCCAAAAAAGTATTAGAATATTATTCCATTTAATATTCCCATTAATCAGTGGTAAGAACAATTTAAGTTCATACTAATATACACATACACAGCTCACATATTCCATAGAACTTCCTATTGAAAAAAATTAAAGTATAGTGCATGAATAGTAATTTATGCATGAACAGTAATTATAGAAGTAGCAATTTACTTCATGACTCATGCACAGTTCCAGCAAGGTCCAATTAACTGGACAACCCTCATTTTGTCATGTAAAGAATACAAAGGAGCAAAGCATATTGTTTGACCATCAAATCCACATTAAATTCAAACATGAGAAATAAATTCTTCAACCCTGTACAAGCCCCCATATTATCCTATATTTCTAACAAAGGTTTCAATGCTCAAAAGTCTCTTAAACTAAGGTTTAAGATCAAATCTCACTAATTTAAGCTAGTTTCCATCATGTTACAGGAAATCTTTAATCTACCCAAACTCTAACCCAAATTTATAACCAAAACTCATACTTACCTATAGGAATCAAGCACCAAATTGAAGAAAATTAGCAAAAATTGATAGGAAATTCAAGGAGAGCACTGCAAGTGAAGATAGCAACTTCTCCTTTAACCCTCACAACTTGGAAGAGAAAGTGGAATTGGTTTCGGAGGTTAAAAGAAGAAATGAAGATTTGCTTTTCTAAAATCTTCTGGAGCCTCGGTGACTTGATTCATAAATTGCCATATGTCTCAAATTTTGGGTAATATGGTTAAATAGTCCCCAATTATCTCAAGATTTCACATAAGGTTCACATACTCTAAATCTAATCAATTTAGTCCCTAAAATTATAAAATAAACGGTTCTATTTCCAAATCTATTCACCAGGGCACATTGGATGTTACAGTATTTCTTTCAATATCTTCTATTTTATTTGACTCTAGCATTTCTGCATCCCCTTTAATATCTTCTATTTTATCTATATTTAGAATTTCTTCATCTAGCTCTAACAGAGTTAGTAGATCTATAATATAAAAACTATTGTTGTTCATTAAAATGATTGCTTCAATTGTAGAAGACTAGCATGTTACTATTCTAACTAAACTTGTTTGGTAAATTGAGAAATGGCCAACAATTCAATTTATACAAAAGTTACAATATCAAGGTCTTTCCCAATAGCTATATTCTTACAAAAGATATAAACTATAAAAGTTATTATTATGGGCAAGCATGACTGGTTAGAGATTGAACAAGGTCTAAAACATCTAATTAGATTTAGGATTTCATCTCGAATTTAAATACTAGCCTATCAAGTTACATACGTATCATGATCAACTTGAACATGTGTAAGTAATTATTACAAACTATTATAAAACATAACATATTTATGCATCACAAGGTGCACACAATACACTCATATGTCAAAATCAACTTAGGCAAGTGTAATTATAGAATTCCTATACTCAATTATAATTTCTAATTAATATAATCAATATTTTGAAGGAAGAAAAAAAAAACACATATCAGACTAGTTTTTCTATTTATATAAATCATTCATGTCTAATAAGCTAATCAAACATCAAACACATAAACACATTTATATGCCAAGATCAACTTATACATGTGTAAGGAACTTTTATACACAATTATAATTTCTAAAATAAATAATATTTTTTTAAAAAATATTGTTCTATTCATATAGGTTATGCACGTTAAATTTCAAATTAATCTCTCTAACACCTTTCACACACACTTCATATGTCACCTTAAATCTAAAAGCCACCTTAAATCCAAAAACAACCTTATTAGGATTTATATGTCCCCACACTCACATGTATCATACAATGGTAGACCTAGGAATTTATTTTAAGGGGCACAAAATGCTTTTGTGATAATGAAGAAAAAAAATTTGATAATGAGACCCTCAATCTAACTCGTCGATGCTAGAGGCATTTAGAAGAAGGGAAAGTTGAGCAAGAGATGAAATATTTTGAAGGTCGAGCAAGCAACTGTTATAGATGGGGGGGATGTAGCTCTTAGGAATTTCCCTATCTAATAGCAAAATGGGCAGCGCAACAAATTAATAAGGGATTTAAGTGGTCAACAGGTAAGGAAGATGTTGGAATTCAATGGACGGTGAGGGTTGCAATTTGAAGGGAAAGAAGAAGAATTAAGGGGATCAAACTTCGAGAATTAGAAAAAAAAGGGATGAAGTAAGGGTTCAAAATAACCTCTAAAAAGTGGGCAATGTTGGTCCAAATAAATTTGTTTTGATGAGGATGATTTCTTTAAATATTAGAGGGTTGGAAAGCAAGTTGAAATAGAAAAAGGTTCAAAACTAGTAGCTAAAGAGAGGGTAGAGGTGATGCTTATTCAAGAAATAAAACTGGAAAATGTTGATTCAAGCTTTTCTCATATTCAATTTGGGGGGGTGACAATTACGAATGGGTTGTCAAAAAGGGAGTAAGGAAATTAGTTAGTATGTTAATTATTTGAGGGAATGGTAGATTGATTGAAGATTTCAAAGGCAATGAATATACTACTATTGAAAATAGACATAATGTTATTCAAGGACTAGGGGAAAGGAAAAGAAGCCTTGTGTTCTTGTAATATCCCAAATTTTCGGGAATTTTAGCATTAAATTAAGGACTTGATTGTGAGAAAAGATTTTTTTGGGGCCTAATGTGAATATTCTGAAAGTTGAGGGACTTAAAGAGGGAAAGATTTTGGATAAGGATGACTTCTTTTCTTTTTTCTTTTTCTTTCTTTCTTTTCTTCCTCCTCAGACCCGATTTTGCTCTTCTTCTCGCTGCAGCGACCCGAGGAAAAAAAAAAAGGGAAACCCAACCATGCTTGGAAAATTGGTAAGGAAGCTTGGTATTTTCCCCTTCCTTTCTTGTTCTAGAACCCATAAAGAACCCAGAAATTTTCCCTCCCTCTCTGCAGAAACCGGATCTGCTCTGCTTTGCTCTGTCCGCCGGCTGCTCTTGTTGTGGGGGCGAATTGCTTGGGTTTTGGGTAAGAAACAGCCATTAAATCCCTTTGTTTTTCCTTGAAGTGGTTTGGGTTTACTTTAATTGCTCTTGTTCCTCCAATTTTTGGGTAAATCCGTGAGTTTCTCCCCTGCACTGCCGCCGGCTTCTTCCCTTGCCAAGTCCGGTTCTGCAACTGGAAAATTTATGGTAGGTTGGCTTCTCTAATTCTCGAAAATTGGTTGATTAGTGGCTGCTTTGTGATGTCTGAATTTGGCTAGAAAATGGGGATGAAATTGATAGTAATTAGACCATGATTTAGCTTAATTCAAGTGGGATTTATGTCATTGAGTGTTAATTGCTTGTTGTGATTTTTGGAGAGAAAATCCTGTGGAATTAGCTAGTGTTTTGGCCAATTTGTGAAAGTCGGGGTTACTGTTCACGTCAGGGTACTGTTCACGGGTATTGTTCACCAACACTGTTCACACCCTGAGGGCCAACAGTTAACGGGGATTTAAGTGATCAGTTTGTGATATAAGAACGAATTTGGAGATATTTGATCATGTGGAGATTGATAGAAATAGCATTGTGATTAGGAATGATCCTAATGATGATTTCAGCTTGAATTTGTGATAGTTCGGTATTAATTCTGAGGTGTTTTGATTAGGTTCCCGATCGTTCTGTCAGTTAGTGTGTGAATTGAGTGCTCGGTTTTATGCAAGTGAGGTAAGTAAATTTATGGTAATGCCCGTACTGTTTTAAAAGCATGTTTTGATTTGTTTTGAAGTGGTGGCG